GAAACGAATTACGTGGCCTGGAATGGTAACAGAAATTGGAATTTTAATTCGGATCGCTGCATTAATTACATAATTTAGTTAACCTAGAAAATATGGCTCAGATGATGTGACCTGTTGTCATTGTGACATCATAAATTAAATGGGTAATATCAACATATCGGATATTGGCAAAAAGCCATTATCAGACATCCCTGATTATTTATAAATATTAGTTCTGTACAAGCACAACAACTACACTCAGGTTGTATGACGGAAGGCCGATATTGTCCAAACACTTAATTTCCGATTCCAATATCAACCGATACCGATATCGGCCTGGTAATATTTATCTATGTAATAAAGATTAACAAAATGAGCTGCCAAACACTTAATTTCCGATTGTAATATCAACCGATATCGGCCTGGTAATATTTATCTATTTAATTAAGATTAATAAAATGAGCTGCCATCTAGTGACTTTCACTTAAATATACAGCCGTTTATCCCCAAAACTATTTTTAGGGTAAACATCATTTGGCATTTTCACTATCGAAAAGGAAAAACCGATAACGATTCATAAAGATATTACATAATTATGCTAATATCGGGCCGATCAGATCCACATCTCTAATCTTACTTTATTTATTTCTTTTCTTCCTCGCGTTTGTAGCGCTAGCTACTAGCATGCATCAGTTACAATTCTACGATCTACTGGCTCGATTTTCAAGTTCGTAAACTAAGGATCGTTTTCAGCAGCTCTGTGTTCCATTCCCGCCAAACGATTGTTGTAAAAACTGTTGAGTCTCTGGGAACATTAGCCAAACAGGAGACCAGGGTGACAGACGGGGGAGCTAAAAGACTCACCTGGGTGAGGAATGCAGAGGGGACACCCGGAGGTCAGCCGGGACATTTCACCAAGAAAAGTAGGTTCTGTGCAGAGGGTGAGGGGCCGCAGTGAAGAGCGCTTCAGTGTAAACAGATGAAATCTTCTCGCATCACTGATGAAAGCCGGAGAATCAGCGAAAAAAAAAAAAAAACAGGAAGAAAAGCCGGCGGACACTGAGGAGACTCATTAGGAACGCATGAGTGACAAGACGTCATAGCAGCGCACTGTTGGAGTGTTTACACAGAATCAGACAAAGGGTAAAGGTCATGGGTCAGTGGTCATTTCCCATAATCACAAAGTCTTCTTTTTTCAAGTCAGTAGAAACTTTACTATTGTAGAAATATCTGATTTTCTTAAATTGGTGATGTAATTAAATTAAACAAAAAACAACCCAGAATTAATTTAAAATAAGCCAAAAACGTAGGGAAAAAATTTTATTTACAGAAACGTATATATTTGTATAATTGTATATATTTCTTAAATAATAATTTTAAATTGATCAAGTAAAATTTCTGAGATGCAAAAATTAGCAAATAGACATTTAAAATGTTAAATATAAAATGCAAAATTCAATAGCAATAGGCTAATGGTTAGCTTAAATTTGGGTAAGTATAGCCCTAAAATTAGATTAAACTAAAAATCAGTCAGAAATGAATGTAAGGAACAGCAAAATAGAATTTAAAACCAATAATAAAGTACATTAAAAAACAGATTTTATTTTGCAAATCAGCCAAACAAAAAGCAACTAAGCTAAAGGCTAGCCAAAAAATAATTTGACCTTAGAAGACATGTTTACTGGAGAGCAGGGAACAGTGACTTTCATTGGATTGGACAAATGGGGTCGAGGGCCCCCCCCCCCTCTCTTTCTCTCCCGCTTTTTCCCCTCTGTGGTGGGTTTTTTTTTTTTTCCGTTCCGAGCAGAGAAACAGGTGCAGAGATGAAAGTAGTTCAAATGTTTCCTGTGAAGAACAAACGCACGAGCATTTGCTGTTTTTCTGGGTGTGTTATGTTTTTTCTTCAATATCTCAGCGTCTCCTCGACCGCGTGTGGTGACGATCAAATCTCCAAAACAGAAATAAAAAACCCACAATATCTACTGCATAACCACTGCTTCAATTACTTATTTACATTTTGAGTTTCCAGTCTGTTAAAAATTATTGTTTGTCCTGATATAAAAAAAAAAAGATTTAACGTAGCACACCTCAGAACTTGAAGTAGAAAAACTGCGATTGAGACGTAGTAAGAAATACTACATACAAAATATAAAAATACTGTACACAAAATAGTAAAGAAGTAAAATATGCGCATATATTTTCAAATATACGCTTGTATATATATTATGTGTTTATATAAATATGTAAAAAAAGTGGTGAGAACATACACATATTTATATAATAAATATATAGAGTATCAATACATAACATATAGTGAAATATATAACATATACATGGTGAAAACCAACACACATAAAAAACTTAGTATAGATATGTCAAATATGTGCTAAGAACAGGCAGTATATTTGACTCATAAATATATACTGCTATACATTTTTTAATAAGATTTTTTGTAAATCTATAGCTATATAACCTTAATATTATTTTGGCTAAAATAGTAGCTAGTAGTAGCTTTTTGGCTACTTGGATTGCTCACATTAACAAACAACATTTTTACTGTAGACTTTTTTAGATTAATTTGTTTTCATTCACTGTTATGATATTTAGACCTCTCTCTCGATATATATAAATATATGTATATATATTTTTTAAAATGTATTTATTTTTTTTCATTTTGGCTAACACCTAAATAGGCTGCTACTTCTATGGTCGCTGAATTCATTTAATTGAGTTAATGCTAATTTTTATTTTTCTTATTTTTTCACAGTATTTATGTCCAGAAAAAATATTTTAACAATCTAGAATGTGTTCAAGCGTTTATATCCTTAATGAACGTCTCAAATGTCCTGCAGTATAACAACACTTAACTCTAGTCCTAACCATTAAATACTAACATGACCTACTCATTTGTAATGATGTTAAATGGTGAGACCGGTGAAGCTGAACGGCTCTGACACAGTTGTAGTGATTTATCCAAATGACGACTAACAGAAATATTTCTGATTTTTTTTTTTTTTTTGGACTAAATGAGCTCAGGTCGGTCCCTGTTCTCCCAGCTGGACGGGGAAGTCCTTGTAGCACAGATCCATCTGCAGTGCAGCACAGTCTTCAAAGTGTGCATGGCTTCATAGTTTCACAGGAAAAATAATCACGTATGGGAATATCAACTGAAATGACGTCCTCAACTGCTGATGGTTGAGATTGGACTTTGAAGTACAACTGCAGTACAGCTGCGATCAAGTGCTGTGTGTAGCTTTTTTTTTTTTTTTTTGGACTTGGGGGGGGGGTCTCCCTCACCTGGCAGTGGATTATTGGATTTAGATTATCTGAGCAGACAAAAATACTCATTAGGCAAATTTGTAGCCGCTCTTTGTGCAGAGCCGGCGGTAACGACCGCTGTGTACTTTATCACAACGACAACAACGACAACAGGAGGCTCATAGAAACACACTCACACACACACACACACACTCACACACACTCACAGTGGAGTGGAGAGTGTATTCAGAGACAGAGTTGCTAATCACTGCACTGGCTGTAGGGTGGGGGTGGGGGGGTAAGAGAGTGGGGGGTAGGAAATGGATTGAACTGAGCTATTTTTATCTGGATTCCACAAAGACAACTGTTGCCGTCCAGACTTGTGTGCCGTCTCCGTCCTCAGGAGTCCAACATCAAGTCACGTGACGGATGTGGAAAAAAAAAGAAAAGAAGAAAAACTCCTTTTGTGTTTTTTGTGTTTATTATGTTTATTATGTGGAGGAAGTCACTAGTATAGTCCTTGAACACCACATACATCTCTCCATTAGTGATTCCCAACCACTGGGTCGGGGCACACTAGCATGCCGTGAGAGATGATCAGGTGTGCCGTTATTTTTTTTTTTTCCCAATTTCACTTCAAAAAACTGAAGATTATTGTTCATTTTATTTGTTGACAGGCTGAGCAATTAAATACACTTCCACTAGGGGGCAGGTGGCTGTAGAAAACATTTTACATTTTTGAAGAAGATCTTTGTGTGTCTTTCTTCGATTCCTGTGAGTGTATCAGCTCGTGTTCAACTAAACAGGCTCAGGATTCAAACTGAGCAAATCAAAATTAGGCTGTCGGTTAGTTGTTCTCCAGATTGACTGGAGGTGTGAGTACGATCACATAATCACAGGAGATTTAACCTGTGATTTTACTGCTGTAAGGCAGGGGCCCTTCCCACTTCATCAGTGTGTGGCCACATGTCAACAAGTAAGTGAAAGACAAACCTCAGTTTGAACTTCAACAGTTTGAAGTGTCATCATCGGTTTGTGCCGCGGCTCCATAAATGGACCGTTTCAGTGGGCGTGGTCGGGGAGGGGCAATTATTTCCACCGTGGTATTTTTCTCAACTGCATGTGGACGTCCGTTCCAGTGGCTCTGCTCCGTCCCACTGTTCTTATCTATAACAGTCCACCGTGGAATGTGGAGTGGACCATTTCAGCTGGTGTCTCCGAGGGGTCACACGCGCTGACCCTGACATTCTCATACCACGCTGTCTCTGTCTGTCCTCTTTGGACAGACAGATGAGAGACAGTGGTCTCCAGAGTGACGGGGACACTGTCCACAGTCTCAGGTCAAAAAGTGCCGTCAACCTCCAGCCTTGGACCTGATATTTAGACTCAAACAGCTGTGTGTGTTCAGTGACCCGAGACCTGAGCTCCACGTAGACCAGAGCCATATGTTGAACACAGCTTTCAATGACAATTATAAACTTAGGGCAAACTTTGGTGCCTTATTTTTCTTTTAGAAATAATGGCTAAAATTCAAAACATTTTTATATGATATTTTATACTGTATTTATATTCAATACATTTATTTTCCCTAAAATACAAAAGTTTGAGATTTCAAAAACTTGAATAAACCACAACATTTATTTTTATTAACGACTCGACTTAAAGGAAATCAGCCAGTGTGTGATGAGATTCCAGTTAAATTGAACTTTTGTGTAAACAAAGAAAAGAAACAACAAACAAAGCCAAAAATCAGAGTCGACAACCAGACAATCCTACATTTGATTTATTTCTGCATATAAAATAATCAAGAACAGATGTACAGCAAAATGTTGTTAAAAATAATCGTTTTTTTTTGTTTACATTGAGCAAAATTTTATGTATTGAATTTAAAATAGTTTTCGTCACATTTATCATCAGTGTACGGACGTCCTGCTGAGACGACACGCTAACATTTAACCAAAGAAAAATGAAGATCGTGAAGCCGATGAGAAGGCACTGTCGTCGTGGATTATAAAGACTGATTTACTGACAAGAAAAAAAAAATATATATATTTTATCATGATCTTCAAACATTTCTGAATGGTTTTTATTTTCCCTCTAGTGTCTGATGAAGGTATTGACAGCATGCAGACTATTCTGTGAACCGTCTGTTTTATTTAAAACATGAAAAGTTTCAAAAGAGTGATTTGCTCTTATTTACACTTTAACCCAAACACAACAGGACGTCCGTGCACCGTGGCACGATGGACCTGACTGCAGAATATTCCGTGGGAGGTTTGAGGAAAATTAGCTTCTCCAACTGCTGAATGTTTGTGGACCTTGTGGTCTGTAGAAAGAAAGAAGAAACAAAGCAGAAAATGAAGAGATGAGTTGAAACAAACAACAACAAAATCTGCTTTAAAAAATAAAAAAAACTGCCTGTATTTCACTGGGCCAGGAGCAGAAAGATGGAGCGTTGGTGTGAACTGAGATAAATGACATGTAAAAGTCATGCATAAAGGCTAAAATCCTTCTATCATTTTCTACGCCACCTATTGGGGAAACATGGGTATTGCAGGCCTGAATTATTATTATGGACAACATTTAAATGTGTTTAATACACCCACATTCCACACAGCAGCCATGGGTGGGAGCAGAGGTGGGAACGAAGGATTTAAAGATGAAAAGAGGCCACAGTGAACGGATGTGAAAACCCCATCACAAGGGGGCAATTAGTCAGGAAGTGATATGAAAGCATCAGCGCCAGAGGCCGACTCTCCCAACAGGAGATCCAAATAATGAAGCTCACCTGTGAACACCTGCTGTGCAGCTCTGTGTTGGATTATTCATTAGATTTTTTCATTTAAAGATCATTTAATGTATTATTGACTCTGTTCTCTCTGGCTCTATTTAAAAACAAACAACAAATAACGGGCTGTGAAAGAATAAAAAAAATGAAATAAAAAATGAAGAAAAATCAATGAGTGCAGGTGAAAGACAGCTGAAGGTTTCTACAACTGTAAATAATCCTGGGCTGTTCTTCATTTGTTTGGACACCAGAAATAAAGAGAAGTGAAGAGGAAAGGGAAATAAAAACCACACACTCACTGGTTTGAAGATCCAAATGTAGGTGTGGGGAAGCCTATGAAAAAAACACAATAAAATTAGTTACTTAGTTATAACTTTTAGCGATGATGAGGTTTTGACGACACACGACTCCTACTTTGAGGAAACTTTTATCAAATTAAATTTATATTTTGGCAAAGTTGTTAAAAGTGAACTTTTTGGAAAATGTTTAAAAATATTTTTAGCTGCCCTATAATATAAACCTATACATTTTAATATTTAGTTTTTAACTGATTAAAGTTTAATTTGATCAATTTAGATTGTTCCTTTGACAAATGATTAGCTTCAGCTTTCCGAATGTTCTGCTAACATTTAGCCATTTCTGAAGCAATGTTTATTTTGTCTCGACCTAAATATATTCCTGGTTTCCTTTTAGCTTTTTGGCTTTTACCTATGTGTGAGCTTACGTGTAGGCAAGCGTTAGCATTTTTGTGGCTAACGTCGTGACTGTAAAGGAGGATTAGCTGGTCTGCCAACATCTATATTCACTTTCTTAGGGCATCAAACTTGGACATTACCATATTTAAGGAACAAAAACTTGAGCTGCTGCCAAATTTTTCTTTTTTTTTTGCAAGGTCACAGGAATCAATTAATTCTCTGAGTGAAAGTCAATAACTGTGTAAAATTCAAATTTTATTGCACAAAGTGAAACACAAAGTGAATCACAGAAGAGTATTGACAGGTTGAACCAATGGGTTTGGACCTGATAACTTCAAACCCGTCTCCTAAACAGCTGCTAAAGGTTCATTAAAATCAGGCTCTCACCTCCGCCCTGTGGCTGTGGCTGTGGCTGTGGCTGCGGCGGCGGCTGTCCAAACCCAGAGAAGCTGCTGGGCTGACTTCCAAACCCAGGGCTTTGCTGAGCCAAGCCCCCGAATGACGAAGTGCCCTGATTGGCTAGAGCCCCAAAGGATGGTGTTGCTTGAGGAGAAGCGAACCTGCAAGCAGAAGCACAGACACACAAGTGATGATGTAAAGCAGTGGTCACCAACTTTGTCTGTCCAACGGCCAGAATTCTTCTGGAAAGACACTCATAATAAATAAATTTAAAAAAATTTGCAATAAATAATTTTTATCTAACATTATTAATTTATATTTCTATTTTCCAATCCAGTTGTGGGCCGGTTTGGTTGGTTTTCTGGACCAGATTTGGCCCGTGGGCCGCCAGTTGAAGATCACAGATTTAGAGGAAGAGGAAGGTAAATTTAAGTGACAAAAAAAGAAGAGGAATTCATTTGTTCCATATCATTGTAATTGATGCAGTTTTTTATTCTAATTGAACACAGCAGCAGACACAGTGTCCGGTGGTGAGTATTTGTAAAGTACTTCTGGGTATTTGTGAGGATCAAGAGATGGGCGTCGAGCACTAATCCTTTCAACGGTGCAGTGAAGAGAAAAAAAAAAGCAAAAGAGAGGAAAAGAAGCGTGAGAGGTGTGGGAGAGGGAGAGACAGAGAGAGACAGGGAGAGAGACAGAGAGAGAGAGAGAGAGAGAGAGAGAGAGCAGTGTAATCTGCAGGGCAGCATGACCCCAGACTGAGATTATCAGAGAGGAATAATCCAGCCCTGCAGAGAGATTCACATTCATGTTCACTGGTACGAACACATGTCAACGTGATGAACTGGACATAGGTCAAAGGTCATGTCCGGAGAGAAAAAGAAAAGAGACAGTAGTGAATTATAAATGGGGTAAAACATGAGAGAATATAAAGTCGGGGCGTGAGTAACAGACAAATTCAACTGTCTGTGTTGGAAAGATACGTCACCTTCGTCAGCAATGCTCCGAGGGTGTATTTGTTGTTGTTCTCTGAAAAGGTCACTTACCCAAATCCACCCATGTTGGCGGCTGCTGTTCCTTCTCCAAACACTTTCCCAGCTGAGGGGCCCATCTGGCCGGGGAAGGTCGGGCTGGAGCCAAACGTCGCTGATCCTCCAAATGCTGGGGAAGCACCAAAAGCAGGGGGACTCCCAAACACCGGGGCGCTGGCGAATCCGGCTGCACGGGAGAAAAGAAGCACATGTCCCTAAGTGAGTGAAAACACTTGCTGGTGGGGGTCGGGGGTCGACTGATCTCAACAGTCCATGTCATTCATAGTCAGTCACTTTTAAAACATCAGTATAAAAAAGGCAGTAGGCAGCGTTACACTAATGACTAATATCAGGACGGGTAATTCATTCATTATTAATGAAATTAATAAATTCATGAATGTAATCATGACTGTATTTAATCGCGATTGTAATTCATCATGATTAATCGTGTTATTCCTAAACATGACAAAAACCTTATTTTTAGATATATACATATATATATCTACAAATCGCATCAGGAGGATGTTTGTGTTTTAAACCTGTTTTTATTTGTGACTGATTTAAGTGATGGTGTTATTAACATGTGAGATCAGATTACGTTAATCAGTTTAATCTTCACAAATTATTCATTTAAGATTTTGTTGTTTGTTTTGTTTTCTCTTTTATATATTTTAATATTTATTGTTATTTTCTATTTTCTTTTCCACTGGAGATTATATATTGATTAAATATATTATATATTGATTATACATCAATGTAAAGATTTTCATTCACCAACAACAGCACGACAGAATAAGGTTCTCCTCCGACTCTCCTTAAATCAGACGGTAAAACAGTTAAACAGAAACAATATTTGCATTAATAGAATTAGAAGTAACGACTCTCCTGATGTGAATGTGTTTGTGTTGTCGATTCACATCATCTTACACATGTACCCAGACACACACACACACACACACAGCATAATGAAAGAAGCAGAGCGAGGGGGGGGAGGAGTGATCTGAAATTACAGCCCGACTCCAGTAAATAATTGATTGAGCTAATGTAACAAGATTACATTCCCTGCGTGTGGGCATTAGTTTGCTGAGTGATACCAACATCTCAGTGGTCAGCAGAGATCATCAGCATTATCCACCGATGACTTTTATTTAAAAACAAAACAAAAAGGAATAAAAAATAAACAACAAAAAAAAAGCCCTGAGATTGAACAAACTAACTCGTGTTTAAACACATTTCTGGTGGATTTTATGAAAGATTTTAATCTCCCAACAAACTCTCCATGTATGAATGTGTGGAGTTTTGCTTTACTTTAAAAGATTTTTTACTTGTTTTGGTATAATTCGATGGGAGAGACTTTTGATCTGATAAGAAGTCTTTCCTTTTACCTGTTTTTTTCTTCTTCTTCTTAGGTGTTATCTACTGACATTTTCTTGGTAATTAGGCTTTTTTTTCTTCTTTTCTCTAGAATAGAAGAAACACTTTCACAAAAACATGGGCTCAACCTAACTGATCGACACTGTATAAACTAAACAAAAACATCCATGACCAAACCTTTAATTGTAGTTCATCTGATTATTTCTAAAAAAAAAAAAAATCACATCAAATTATTTAATTTATCATAAATAATCATGATTAACCACAACCTAGAGAGACAAATCCAATGATGGAATAACTCAACATTTTGCTTCATAGAGTTGGAGGATTTCGAGTCATTCCTTAATGTTTTCGAAGGAAACTCCCGAGGGATTAATAAAGTTCGATCCATCTGTCATTACTGTGCATCATGACAGTGAACGCGTCGAATGGTGCTTTTAAAAACTTCACTAATAGAGAGTGGGCGATTTTGATTTGTTGTTTTGTTTGATTTTGTTATGCTCATTTAGACCTAAATAAATCGCTAATTCTTTCTTTAATTTATGTCCTTTTGGGAATATGATAAAATATTGATGAAAAAGCAAGAAAAAATGGATGGAATGTTGAATAATGGGATACAGCGTACTGCATTCTGCCCATGGGTTAAAATGTTTTAATCAGATTAATTTTCCCACATTTCTAAACTTAATTAAAGTGTTAGTTTCATCAGCCCTAGTTGATTAAAAAGAAAAAAAAAAATCCAGATCCTTAGTAATTTCTGTACCATTCCCCTGCAGCCCAGGTTGTACTGCATCAGCAATGTCCTGGCAGGTCGTGATGCAGCGTCTGACTCGACTGCTCTACAGAGGTGATACAGTACAAGTACACGCACACGTGGCTCAGATAACAAAGAGAAACAACTGTCAAAACTTGACTGCTTAATTAAAAAAAAAAAAACTTAGCACATGTGACAGGTCAATGGAGGGAACTGGTGTTTAGAATGGACTTAAAAAAAAAAAAATGGAAGAAGAAAATAACGAGAACTCCAAATAGCGTCTTTACAGATGAAAGGAAAACTGCTCAGGCTGTACCTGCTTTAGTCGGAGTGGAGAAGGAGCCAAAGCCCTGGGATGCGACACTGACTCCACCTGTGCTGAAGGTTCCCGATGGTTTCTGCTCACCAAAGGAGGACTGTCCAAAACCGAAGGCTTTGGCTCCACTATTTCCAAACAGAGTGTTGGTACCTAAAGGAGAAATATATATATATATATGTATGTATGTATATATACTGTATGTATATATGTGTGCTGCTGTTGTCTCTGGAACGAATATGAATCGATTAATAAAAAAAAAAATCCATGATCAATTTTTTAAAAATTTGTTGAACCAATCAGGTGGTGAGATGTCAGAGGTGAATAACATGCAGCACTGCACATGTAGACGTATTCTGGCTAATGAATAGGAGTGTGTATTGGCATGAATCTGTACGATACGATATGTATCTCGATACATGGGCAAATGTACCTGTAGGAAAACGGTCACTCTTACCACCAGGTTACCAAAGTTGTAACAAATTAGGATAGAAGAAATAAAAGCAAAATAAAATGAACCAATGGCATGAATATTTACCTGTTAAATGTTTATAAAAAAAAAGAAAGAAAAATTGATACAGTGCTGTGGAACATCGCTACAATATTGTGAAACGAAATATCACAATATATCAGTGTATCGAGATTTGACCGGTGTAACCAAAACACATCACTTCAGTAGTGCAGTAAAAATGGCTGAACTAGAGCCGCTGCTCAAGAACAACAACGTTTTGACCGGTGCCCCCTGTTGGACAGTATTTTAATGTGAAGTGAAGAGAGGACGAGGTGGGCGAGAGACGTGACGTAAACTTTAGGAACACGAACCACCATTTGCTCCCACTTTTCTCATTTCAGAACAACAGACGAGTCTTGTTGCTACTGAAGAGTAAACCGTTGCTTATTGTTTAGAACTATTTTTATTTCATGACGGACGCTCCCGGGTGTTTCATTAACAACCAGGTGAAGTTTGAGCAACTTGGCCAAACAGAGAAACCCGTCTTCATTCAGACCTCCAGGTCCTCGCTTTGGACAACAAAAAGAATAAAAACCAAACCTTCAAGTTTTTATAAAACGTATATATATATATGACGACGATATATACATATACATATATACACATACACATATATATATGTATATACATATACATAATACATATATTATGTATTATGTATATGTATATACATATATATATATTCATCTAAATATAATCTATTCAAAGAGTCCCACAACATTATTGCGTACCTGTCTGGGCAGGTTGTCCAAACGCCCCGGCAGAAGCAGTGGGGCTAAAAGGGTTCTTGTTGGCGGCGTCCTCCGACGGCTTTCCTCCGAGGCCACTGAAGAACCCTGAGGACGATGGGGACGCAGTGTTGGCTGAACCTGAGCCAAACACACCGCCCCCAGATGGAGGCTGCGCAAAAAAGAAATTTAAGAATTTAAATAAAATGTTTTTAAAGTAATGTGCCCAGAATGACAAATCAAACAGGTAGAACTAAGAGTTAAATGTTCATAATCATAAATACCTGTCCAAACACACTGCCACTGCTCTGCTGTTGGCCAAACACAGGTGTGGCAGAAGAGCATCCGAAGGCTGAGGTGGAGGGGAGAAAAAAGACAAATGTCACAGTGAAGACATTCTCTGTGAAATCAGCACCGCAACATTAGCTGCTGAGGCTTCAAACATTTTTTAAAGTCAACATTCTACAACCAGGCTCTCTTCCCTTCAGAGTGCCATAACAGTGAATGTGCTGACTATGGGAAAACAGGAGCCCGTATATAGAGTTTGTACACTGACGCTGGGTCTAATAGTGGAGCTGAATCACTGACATCAGCTGTTCACTGACAGGCATTCCTCCTGCCAAGGGAATTCAGAAAGTCTCTTGGAATGAGACAACTCCCATCATGCCATCCTCCTAACTCATGAGCCCTGTGGCCGCAGGGATAATATCAAATATCAAAGTGTCAAATGTTACAAAAAGGAACTTTTCTATGAAATTATAATATGAATATATAAAAATGATCCATCCAGTCTGCTCATTTAAATGAGCCACTAGAGGTGTATGGTGGCGAGTTCCCCTGGTGCAACACTATGAATTCATCTTGTACTGCACGACATATGGATCCACATATAGACACAACAACCATTCACACCAACGTTCCAGCTTATGGTCAACTTAGCGTGAACAGTTCATCTAACCTGTTCATATAGAAACCCCACAGAACACTGACTACTCTTCCAGATCAGGTACCTGAAGGTTGTCCAAAGCTGAATCCTGACGACGATGATGACGACGTGGTAGTGTTGTTCCCAAACACAGAGCCCTGCCCGAATCCCGAGTTCTGGCCAAATCCTTGGCTGGTGCTTCCTCCAAACAGTCCCGTGCCGGGGCTACTGGCTGTGTTTGCACTGCTGGTGCCAAAAGAAAAGGAACTTGCGTTGCTGGCAGTAGGTGCACCAAAAAGACCTCCTGCTCCTGCTCCTCCTCCTGTAGTCGTACTAATGGGGTTTGCTGAAAAGCCTGACTGTCCAAAAGAAAAGCCACCGGCCGTCGCAGTGTTACCGGCAGGCTGTCCGAAGCCACTCACCTGCCCAAACACAGGTTTGCCAAAAGCGTTTCCTGAGGTAGACCCAAACCCAGATGAAGGGAATCCTGTCAGTGCAGGACCTGAGGAAGCTGGAGGTGCAGCAGACTGGCCAAAAACAGTGCCTGTGGTAGTAGTTGTAGTCAGGGTGGGGGTAGGTGTGGCAGGCGTGACGACTGTGGTAATAACCGATGTGACTCCGATGGAGCTGGTGTCTGTCGTTACTGGGGGAGGTTGGGTAAATATGGAACCTGGTTTGTCAGAGGAGGGAACCTGAAAAGCTGCTGGTACTACGGCGAAGGTAGAAGCTGCCGTCGTCACAGGATGGTTGATGATGGCGAGGTTGGCGGTGGTGATGGTGGCATCTGCTGTGGATTCTACCGAGGGAGCAGCAATCACTGGTGGAGGGTTTGGGGTTTCTTGAGGTGCGACGTAGGGGGGAGGAGCGTCTATGGCGGGGGTAGTTGTAGTCAATGTGGGAGCAGGTGATGGCGCTGCTTCGACCACTGCTGGTGTTGGTTTGACGGCCGTGGACTCTGTACTTTCAGGAGCTACTGCAGACACGGGTTTGACCGAGGCTGCTGTTGTCGTCTCCACAGAGGGTTCACCAGCAGGTACTTTTTCAGGGAGCGGTGTGGTCTGCGTCGGTTGTGACGGAGCTTTGGGGTCTTCCGATGAGTCTGAAGACGCTGCGAGAAGACTGCTCAAAGACGTAGGTAAAGCGGAGAGAGCCGAGTTGGCCTGGGGCACAGAGAAGGCGGGCTTCGTACTGTTTTCAGGAGGTTTGAACAAACTGCGAGACACTGACACTTTAGACAAGTCCGGTCCTGATGAATCTTCTGCAGATTTATGGACACCAGCACCAAAGCTAAACTGCGTTGCTCCCTTGCTAACCCCAAACGCGCTGTCTCCGAAGGTAAATGCTGCAGCAGAGGGTTTGCTGGCACCGTCTTTGGCTTCTTCCCCTTGGCCTACACGTAGTCCAGAGAAACAGCCCAGCGTTTCTCCTCCAATTGTCTTGGAGGGCTGTGGCTCTACCCTGAGGGCAGTTGTTGTAGAGGCAGCCTTGGCTGCTTCTCCAGGTTGGTTCGGAGGCAGACTGGGAGATCCATTGCGAAGAGCTGGGGAGGTGGATTTTGGGGCGAAGGAGAACGTGTCCTCGCTGGTCTGTCCAAAAACCATCTTGCCATTTCCACTAAAGGAAAATTTATTAACATCCTTAACTGGAGGCAAAAGAAGAAAACAACAAAAACAGAATATTAAGGTCATGTGCATTTTTGTTTTTATAACCTCTAGAACTTATTGAAGAATATTTTTCTTGTTTATTACCTTGTGATACCCCTGAGCCCTGAGAAACTGAAGCGAAACTGAAGCCTGAGGACCTGCAAAAAAAAATCCACATTTTCATCAACTATATGTCTCTGGTGTCTATAAAGACAGAAAGTTAATGACAGAATTGAGACCAGAAAAAACGATTTGACTTGACTGAAAAATTCGAGTTTATTGCCACAGAATGTGTATTAGGAACAATATAGAAGATACCGTATGAAAATGTCAAATGTATTTCTGTAACAGGACTCACCCTGATGTGGAGAAGGAGAAACCTTTGATGCTACTTTGCTCTGTTGTTGTAGTAGAAACCACAGAGACGTCAGACCTGGAGGACTGACCTGAAGACGAAGAAGGAAAAGTCATTTAAAACCTGTCTATGGACAGACTGTCATTTTAGCTATTCTTTTACTTTACTTAATGCATGAAGACAAAAACAAAAGTGACAATTTATAAAAAAAGAAAGAAAAAAGAATGCACTATACTTTAATATTGTACATATGGGCACATAATACATAAGACTTTAATATTGTACATATGGGCACATATAATATATACGAATATATATACATATATATACATACATTTACATATACATACATACATTTACATACATACATATATATACACAAACATATTACACATATATATACACATACATATATATATACATACTGTATATACATACATACATATATACATACATATATACATATATACATACTGTATATACATACATACATATATACATATTTACATATACATACATACATACATACATATACATATATACATAAATACATATATATATATAAAAAAAATATAACAAAAAGCACTCACCAAATACAAAGCCTGTCTGTTGGGGGGCTGTAGTATCAGCGGACACAGTCTGGACTGCTTGTACAGGATTCTGCAGAGAGTTTTAAAAACACAAACATATGATCTACTTCATCTACATCACGTGTGTCAAACTCAAGGCCCGGGGGCCAAATTTGGCACATTAGTTAGTAGTTACATCTATACAGTCTTCCATTTACAAATGACCCTTCAAGAAGTGTATTGCTGATGTGGTCCCCAGTATAAATAAGTTGAACCCCCCCGATCTACATAGTATTACTTGAGAACCCCTCGACCCCCCCCCCCACACTGCCTACTACCCCCCACCCCTGACACCAAACTGTAATTTGTAACATCAGGCTGGGAGGGAACTGAAACATTTCACACCGATGTGGTGTGGTGGATTTTTGCAACGTTAATGTTTAACGGCAGGGAACGCAATAACTGAAAACGGCTTCATACAAAGAATTGACTTTAATGCATTAAAATGCCTCTGTATGAAGGTGTATGTTCTCGGCATCATTTGATTTACCTGAACTAAAAATCTCGGTGCGTGAAACAAACATCTGCGCGCACACATTTCTCCGCAGGTTTGGTTGGTCGACGTGCATAAAAATAAATCACACAAGTGACAGCGCGACAGGGAAGCGCACACACGGGACAAGTTGAATGACAGGTGTGTCAGTGATGAAAAGGTCAGACTTACTCGTTTAGTTTGAGCAGAAGAAACTGCTGCAAAGGCTTGAGCTGCTGGATCAGAGACAGAAGGGCTGGAAAAAAGAATAATAATTATAAGAAGAAAATGATGACATGTCAAACATGCCTGGTTTCTATTCGTTTACACCTCAAAATGACAACAAATGGTACACAAGTATAAAAATGTTCACTTCTTCTATTCATTAAATGTGCCAAAAACAGAGTTTAATGTCAAAAGCCATAAAAACAAAACATTGTAAAATGAAGTAAAAGTGATTTATTCTCTGCACAGCACAGCACCACACACACATCAAATTTGTTCTCTGCCTTTGACCCTTCACCATAGTGAACAGGGGGCAGCAGGGTGGGGGGGGTCAGTGCCATGCTCAGTGGACACGAATGGCACCTGGTGGATTCAAACCTGCGACCTTCCTGACACAAGTCTGCTTCCTTAACCACCAGATCACCACTGCCCGAGTCCAAAGTAAATGTTAAATTAATGAATGACCATGAATGGAAACTTCACCACCGTTTTTGATCTGAATTTGATTATTTGATTTTTTTTTAAATTATTTTTCCATAACTAAAAGAAGGCAAAAAACGAGACAAAGTTGCAGGTCACAACTGTCATAATGTTAAATACAATAGAGGAAAAACAGAGGAACAGTTCTGTTAAATCTACGTTTTATTTGCCTTAAAACATGTATTTGTAAAGTATACCTTGTTTTTTTAGTATTTAGTTAAATTTTGAATAATTAATCACAACCATAAATGGTATTCAAGGGAAATATGATTAAAAACGTATATTATTAACTAGTACTTTTCCTATGACCATAAAGACAAAAAAAAGTTTTGGTTTTAAAATGTATATTATGCAGGTTCATTTGAGCAACATCTGGCCATAAAGTTGTTTACTGAAATCATATGACATGAAGTGCACTGAGTGGACAGAACGTGAGGGTTTCAATGTCAGTATTTGGTGTGAATTTCACCTGATGACGTTGGACAGCGCCGCAGACGGAGCCTTCTCACTCAGTTCTTGGACATTGACCACTTGAGGAACCGTCTTCAGAGTTGACTCGGTCAGGGAAGCGCTCACAGCTGGAAGGAAGACGGAGGGATATGTTGAGATTTGTGATATAAAGAGAATAAAACTCAGAGTGAAATTTTTTTTCATTCTTCAAGTCTGTGTCTCCCCCTGGTGAATTACAAGGGGCATGGCAAAAAGATATGAAACTGGAAGCCACACAGTTACATTTAAAAGTAACACTTTCTGAGCTGAAGGAAAAACAGCTGCCGGTCACATGTTGGCCCTACCTGTCTTCTGATTGGCCATCTGTCTGCGTAGAGCAGCAGTCGCTGCAGCCTGCTGGGCAGAGATGGTGACGGGGACAGTTCTCTCGTTTGGCGGAGCTCCATGTTTTACTGTCTTTGTGGCCAGAGCGGTGCTGTCAGCTCCACTCAGGTTGATCTTATTGGTTGGAACTAAAACATCGATAGAAACAGACATGACTCTCAAAAAGGCTTGGACTGTGAGACGACCATGCTGCAACACTTAAAAAACCATAGTAGTACTGTGAGACGACCATGCTGCAACACTTTGGAGGAAAACCATATAAATCAAGGTAAATTGTCCTTCTGTAACATGACAAAAATGTTTTTGTCTAATCTTTATGCAGAAATAAATTAATTTTATTATGGAAAATCTCAAGAAAATTATGTTAAAGTAGAACTCAAATCCTACAAAAAATATAAAATAACCATGTACATGTTTTCATAATTATTGAATTTTCATCTTTTGTGTGCAAATAATACCATGTGTAATGATACATGAATGGACTGAGGAATTATTAGATATACACTGTGTGTATCTGTCTGCCCATGCATTAATGAATTAATTTCAACAGCCCTACTTCATACAGTAGCTTTGTACCTGGACTGGCAATAGGGCTGAGGCCAAAGCCAAGACCTTGGACTGACTGAAGTTTATTCAAAGGAGTGGACTGGATCGCCCCAAAGCCTGGCTGAATAGACGGGGTCCTCACAACAGTCGGGTGGCGGGAGACTGCGAGCACAGGGGGTAAGACCGTCATGGGGAGAGGTTCTGACTGTAGTTCCTCCTCCTCCTCCTCCATTTCCAAATGAGCTGCGTTAGGTTCCAGGGACTGGGACAGGGAGGACGTGGAGCTCACATCGTCCAAGTCCTCATAGTATTTAGGAGAAAGGAAGGCTGATCGAGACAGGTTGGCTGGAAGAGAATAAATGAAGAACTTGTTGAATGTACTGAGCACATTGATTTGATTCATCTTTCTTTTATTTGGATCTTTTCATGAAGCTAAAGGACAAAAAAAAATTATATACAGCTACAACACGATTGTTAAATATATAGATTTGGACTGAATACCTGGTGCAGTTGAGCGAACAGGAGGCATCTGTCCCTTTGATAAAAAGTTACGCAGCTGCGACTGTTTGGCTGGTGTTATCTTGACTGATGGAGAAAATTATCCAGAGTTAGTATTTACTTGTCCAAAGACAAATGATTTAATGTTAGGATGCAGAAACCCAAATACCCGTAGATGGTGATTTAGCCTTGGGGGGAGTCGTGTCCAGTCTGGCCTTGAGCAGTGAATCCCTCAAACTCTCGAGCTCACTTTCCAAACTGCTAACAAAGGAACAAACAAACAAACAAACACAACGTTTTAATGTGGAAATTTCAATATCCTCACTTTACTTGTTCATAAATGTATCTAGATCAGAGGTGTCCACACTTTGTTTTTGGCCTGGGAGCTACTATTCAAATGACCAGGCTAAAGTGATATAACTACAATTAAAAACAAAAAATATATATTTAGTCATATAAACTGAACATACTGTAGAAATAACATTATGTGTTGGGACATAGGGTTTAAGTTCTGAATTATTTCTTACAGTTCACACGTCTCAGATCTCCAAAAGACTTCTTTTTCTCACACTTAAACATCTTGTTGGTGTCACCTACCAGGCTGTTGTCGCTGCAGCAGTGTCATTGATTGTATCTGCTGCGGTGTTGTTGTACAGCAGCATTGAAGTCAACTCTTTAACCAACTGATCCAGTCTGGTCTTCTGCTGGTTGATGATGTACAGGTTATTGGCCAGCGTGTTGAACAGACTCTCACGGCCCGGCACCACCATGTGTCTGCAGAGAGGAAAATGATTAAAAAATGAGATCACAATAAAGAAAAAGTTTTAAATGAACAAAAAAGTTTTTTGTGTGTTTGTTTGTTTTCTTTGTTAATTACTTGAGCTTTTTCTTCTTCTCCAAATGTTTCTCCCATTCCACATTCAAAACGTCATTGACATCTTCGACAGCAAATGTAACGTACTGGTACAATCTGCGAATCTCCTAATAAATTAAACAAAAACATTTCAATATTATTTTGTGAATTAAGTTCAACAATCTTTGAGGAATTCATCAAGGTAAAAAGAAGGCCTTTTCATGCGTCACCTTGAGACGTTCTTCACTGCGTGGGTCTAGAGGTTTTTTGTACAACAGCTGTCTGTAATTTTTGTCTCTGCTCAGTTCACTCTGAGCCACGGCTTCTTCTGCGCCCGCAAAACCTTCAAGTAAGGTGGTCTTCAGAGTGCCGATGTCCCCATGGAGAGACTAAAGCCACGAAAAGAAGGAAAAACAATGTGAAAATGGAGCCAATTTCAGGACACAAGGAAATGTGGAGAAACAAAAGCAAATCATGTTGACAATAATCAGATGGTTTTGGGGTGAATTAAAACAATGCATTTAAAAAGTACTTGCAGTTGAAGATTTTGTGTAAAGGGTTGAGGTTTAATATTTGGGCATGTGTGATACAATTAGATGTTGAAGAGAGGACCATGCAAACTGCAAGTAAATAACTAGTTTGATATAATACATGATATCTTTAAGATGAAAAACAATGTTTTGTCTTAAACTGGAAAAAGATATATTCAGAAAAATTGTGGAAAACAAAACGGGTTGATTTTGACCTTTCGACGAGACTTTAAAAAAAAAAAGGGACTCTTAGGTTCAGGCAACATTCAAGTTCCAGCTGAAATAAAATTGTTGCTGAAAATATTATTTTTTATTTCTATCAACAAAAAATATACTTGTACTTTCTATCCCTCTTAAAGTAATTTAACAATTATTATATTTCATCTTATATTTTGTATATAAGTTTTGTTTATGTGTTTTATGTGTGTATATATACATACTGCATATGTATTTGATTTACTTATTTAGTGTGTGGGTATGTGTGTATATTTAATGTGCTTCTCATGTTAAGTGTTCCCTCTGGTTGTATTACAGGATGGTAAGATGGCTTTAACCAAATCTGTATAGAAAAATGTAAAATAAAAAAATAAAAAATGAAGGCAACTGTTTTGTGCAGTTTCTGAGTGAATGTACGCTCTGCTCCTGTCCTGTGTTCCTGTCTCACCTCAGTAGTTTCTTTAATCTCCAAGGTGAAAACGTGAAGGTCTTCAGACTCTTTCCTCAACTCCTTCATTTCGTCTGAGGTTCCAACCTTAAAGTCTGATTTTGCACTTCGTGCCTTTAGGTCGTCCAGCTCCATCTGGAAGTGTGCGATCTAGTGAGGGTTGAAACAAAAGGTCTGTTATCTCCTCTTCATTTACAGCCGTAGAGAGAATACTGATCCTGGATCTGATGGAGAGTTTTTTATTTTTCTTCTGTCTAACGTTATCAAACTGCTGCTCAGTGTGTCAATATTAAATAATATTTATCTTCAATTCAATTTAAATAATTTTTTCTCAGTGGACCTGTAAACTAAAGTCCATTGAGACAAATGTGTTTTGTGAATTTGGGACATAAAAATGAAATTGACTTGACATCACATTATTCTCCAGGCGCCACAGTAGATGATAACAAATTGGTCAAAGTCACCTGATACATCCACAAATTATCTCTATTACGGAGCAGAAAATTGTAATAAGTACATAAATAACCCTAGAATACATAAATATATTAAAAACATCTCAAAAAAAAGAAGAAAAAATCTGTATTTACTAACTACTGCTTATTTAAAAGAACAGGATTATCTTAACAACAGTTTCTCAGGTGTCAAGGCTGCTGTGCAGAGTTTAACACTATGATAAGTCTTATTTCATGGAGCGTTAATATATTAAAAAAAAAAAACCTGTCGAGACCAGATACTTGTGTGTGTGTGTATGTGTGTATTTGGGAGAATCCAATATCCAGTAGAAACAGCAGGCTGTGTTCAACATGGAGATTAGATCAGAGCTTATTAACATCACAGCACATTGTTCTCCGTCAACCCTGCCCACTGTTTTATATTAAACTTTTAATTTGTCTAAAGACACACTTCACAGTTCATTAACTCCACTCGTGTTCACATTCGTCATAAACACAAGCATCCAGTCAGTGCATTTACATCACTAACTGAGGCTCACGCCGTTTTAAACTCACTGCATTTAGAACAAGTTATTTTAATGTTGACTCTCTCTCTCTCACCTCTTCCAAAATACCAGCCATGATATGATCCGACTCTTTCTTTTGTTGTGGTTGTTTCTCCACTGCCTTGGTACTTGGCGCAGGTGCCTGCAGAGTTGAAATGACGTAGTGGACAAAGTATGGTCAAAGTTTACAACACAACAAAATATAAATCAATTTAAGAAATTTAATATGTACTGCAGGCTTGCTATTCTTCTCTTTGATAACTTCATAAAATATATCACCTAAATACACATGCCTAAACATACAAAAATAGATTTTTATCCTAACGTAACTGATTCAAAGTTCCTCATTGATCATCATTAAGTTCTTTCTAATTGTACCGTGTGGTAATTATTTGTATTTATCTGCAGCCAAACCACAGCCCCTCCTTCAACCTGTCAGAACCTGATGATAATGAATCCCGTTTCTGGCTCACTGCGCTTTACAAATTAATAACTGCACACACGCCACATTAAAGTACAATTAGATTGTCTGTTTGTGAACGCAGCAGAGGCGTATTACACACATATATATAAAATTGTTTTCCTAACACACACACACACACACACATAAAATTGTTTTCCTTAAAGGTCCAACACTAAAGTTCATATTAAAATAGAAAAAAACAACCATTAGAATCTGACCTGTGGAGCCTGGACTTGACTCTGGGCAGCAGCAAGTGGCTTCTGTACTGGAGCTGGTGTGCTGGCCTGGACTGGACATACTGGGGCTGAAACACATAACATTAGGAAAAATCTAATTACAAATTGTTAATAATTAAAACAGACTTTTATCTTCACACTTTATATAACAAATGATTAACATGAAGAAAGGCTTCCTACTTAGCACGGCCGGTGGTTTAGTCGCTGACGGAGCAGGCGCTGTCAAACTGCTTGTATTGGACACAAGGGGTTTGGACAGTTGTGGAGTGAAGGAGAAAGACTGTGGGGCCTGTGGTGGGGTCTCCAATGCTGAGAACCTGGATGAAGATTTGTTCAAAATGTATTAAAATCTTCTTGAATCAGTGAGAAATATTAAATTGTGTCAGTTCACTACCTTTCATTTAGATTCAACTTCACAGTTGGAGGGGAGGCAGCGACAAGACTCTGCAGAGTTGAAGCTGCCGGTGCCACCGCTGGGGGTTTGATGGAAGGGGTGCTGATGGAAAACGCAGAGGGAGCAGAAGGAGTGTCAGAGGGAGGCTTGGAGGCAAAGGAAAAGCCCAAGGATCCAGAACCCAATACTCCGGAGCCCAAGGCTCCAGAACCCAAGGCTCCAGAACCCAAGGATCCTGATCCCAAGGCTCCTGATCCCAAGGCTCCTGATCCCAAAGCTCCAGAAACCAAGGCTCCAGAACCCAAGGCTCCAGAACCCAACGCTCCTGATCCCAAGGCTCCTGATCCCAAGGATCCTGAGCCAAAGGGCGTAGCAGAAGTTGCCCCGAAGGAGAACGCTGACGTTGCTGATGTGGCGATGGTACTTGGGACTGAGAAGGCGAAAGCCGATGAAGACGACGACACCGGAGCAGCGTTGACAAAGCTAAATGGAGCAGAGGAAGAGGCTACGGTGGAAGTAGCTGTGGACATGAGACCGAGGTTTGAAAATGTGGAGGAGGCAGTGGGGAAGGAAGATGGTGGAGGTTTTGGTGGCTGGGTTGACAATGAACCTGTGGATGAAGAAAGAAAAATTTAATTAAATGATGTGCAGTTAAAACTTATCTAAGAATACAGACAGATTCAATTAGTCAGAGCCCATTGAATACCCATGCAAAGATTTTTTTTTTATGATCAGTTAGCCATTATTCCCAGACTTCTGTTGAGAAACTTTCTAAAAAGTTTGATTAAATAATTTTTTTTTTGTATTAGTAAGAATGAGCAGTTGACATCAACTGCCTCTAAATGTGGATTAATATGAAAAGAATTCATGACCAAGGACATTACTACATCACAAAAAAAACAAATAGTCTGAAGGTTTTTTTTTTTTGGATCAGTTCCCTGGGACATGGAAACGTCTGGCAGCAGATGTTTTGGTTCAAAAATTTGGTTCATTTTGACCCTGATAGACTTTTAAAAGAATAATCATAAATTATTAGGTATGGGTTACTTTGGTTAATACTGGATCTAATTTTTTGTGATTGTGTAACACGTCTGTGGTTGTTAAAACAGTTTTCTCTTTAAACCATCATTACATAAACCATCTCTAAAACAGCAGTGACAACATGTTTGATGAAATCAGAATAACGTCAGGAAAGAAAGGCAACAAATGTAACTTTTTTTTAAATGTATTAAAGCCAAGAATCCATGAAATGTAAAACACCAGGGGCCTCAAACAGAAAAGATTGCGTATGAAAAAGGCAAATTTAGAGTCTTCTGGTGGAAAACATTTCAGATTTCTCCATTTGCTGTGAATCACTAACACAAGTTTTTCAGACTAAAGAATAAAGAACAGACAAAGTAGAGTCTGTTGGTCACATCCTGTCCCTAATGTCAGGTTAACAGACCAGTGAAAGATGACAAAATCTTTCATCATTCATCATTTACTATAGACATTTGTGTGTAAAATTAGATTCTGGTTTATCATGTCTATTGAAATTGAATACAAAATTTTAATGAAATCTGTCAGTTTCCTAAGTAACCGTCTGATGTCATGTCTTTCCTACCTGGCTTTGGCGTTCTCTCTCCCTCCAGAGGTAACGGTCCAGGCTGTGTCACCAGCTGTTTGACCCCAGGGTTGAGGTTAAGAAGAGCAAACGGACAGAGGATACCCTCGGTGGACAACATCAGTAAGGTAGGTGCCGGGGGCAAAGTCTTCTCATCAGCTTCAGAGGAAAAAAAGAGAGAGAGAGAAAAAAAATCATTATTTCATTAAAAACCTGAGAGAAAAGTCCAGCACCGACACCGCAGCAAAATAATCTGTTACCATAAAATTAACACATGGTAACAAACAACAAACACAGTCGACAGTGATTTCACTGTGACTATAATACAGTGTGTTCAAAACCCTTAGTATAAGGCATTGGTTCCCAAAGTGGAGTGTGGGCCCCCCCCTATAGGGGTGTATGGGTATTGCCTTACTGTATAGCCAGGCAAATTAATTCAATAACATGTTACTTTTTTAACCACTTTTAATTGATAAACCTGAAAATGTTGAAAAACATTTTTGGAAATTGTTTTTACAATCCACAAATAATTAGTATTATATTATATATATGTATAAATATATTATATATATCTAAAAATTTATATGTATGCATATATAGGTATACATACAAATACATTTATAAATATATATATGTTCATAAATATATAAATATATGTATATATTTATACATATATTTATATGTTTACATGTACATAGAAATATATTTATAAGTGTATACATTTATAAATACATATATACATTTATATATAAGTATATATGTATATTCCACCTTTCTTAATATGTATGGATGTATACATACATACAGAATGAGTTCTACAAATATATAAACAAACCTACTGGCGTTGACTGCAGTAACTTTTTCTCTCACTTTTCACTTCTCTCGTTCACTTTTCTGTTATTAAATATTTGTACACAAACACTCCAAAAGAAGACATAACTAAATAAGGTAAATAAAATAATGGAGAGAGTTTCTGTGCAGTTATGAAAACTGTATCTATAACAATTTTGAGAATAAAAGAGACCGTGGGTTAAAGAAAATAAAAAAATAAAATAAAGATGTGGAACAGAAGAGAGGAGTACACAGTAAACCTCATCAGCATTCAGCAACAGCAGTGTCTGCTCTTTGTTGTGGTCCTGTGGCTCGTCTGAGCCATTTTAATGAGTGCAGTTTTTGCATAGACGATAACACCGTTATCCTGCCTTCACTTTCCCTATCTAATGTCTCACTCTGGATAAAGGTTTTGATTTAGTGCAATCACGTTAAAATGTGGACAAAATTGCTGTTTTTATTCTTGGAAAGGCAGGGAGGTCTTTGAATGAGAAAAGAGATGTGACTAGACAGCAGCGGCAGCTCTACGTGAATGTCTGAGACTGGGCCAGTTAAGCAGTGTGCTGAGACAGGGGAGCTTATCACTATTCTTTACACACGCTGCTACAGAACACTGCAGTGGATGCTGTTGCTACAAAAGAACCTGAAATTGAAAGTTAACTAAAATGTGTCACCAACTCCTGGACCGTTTCAGGTGAAATCTTCACTGCTCCAACAAACAATAAAAAACTACGTCTCGGAAAAAACACTGCATTGGTAGGAATGGGATCAAGTCGGATACACCGTGCTTGGAACTTTGTAAGAACTAATAGAACATTCTCAGTAGGTGCGCTCATTAGAACAAGTCCAGAGTGGACAAAAGCCACCGTGGATAAATGCAGTGTTTCCAACATAAAAGTCGTAACTCTGCACTAAAAACGTAGTACAAACATGTAGAAACTAGGGATGCGCACATTCAAATACTAGTTCGTGAAAACAGATGCCAAACCAGTGAGCCGATATTCTGTACCGACTTTTCACCACAACCTTTCCCACCTGCAGTTCATTGTCTCATTGTCCTCATGAGTACTTTGTTGAAGTACTGGCCGTGAGATTTGTTCAGTTACGACACTAGCGCTTCAACAACAGAGACACCTTAACGCAGGTAAAAAGTCTTTTCTCGGTTTAACAGCACAGTGGATCGACGAGGAGTTCACACCTCACCGAGTGATGTTTTTGTTGCAACTTTAATTTGTTTATCGGTAAGCAAGACACAAGAGTTTTCTTTTCAATCTCTTGTTAATGACGGGAGAGTAGAACTAGCTGTTTACACTTTCCTGCTTTGTGTTGAACTCACATCTACACACTGCACGTCACCCTCAAGTAGAACTAGCTGTTTACACTTTCCTGTAAAAAATCTACACACTGCACGTCACCCTCCAACCCACACAGCATATCTGCTGTTAACACAACAACAATTTCCCAAATATGGGATCAATAAAGTTTGAATGAATTAAATCAGTGGTGAGTGTTCCATTGTAAATTAGATGAGACTAAGTGGACGCAACAATCAGTTCTGGTTGTCTTTCTGGGTCAAAGGTTAAATCCATCCACAAAATGAAAGGTTAAACACTGGAGTACTGTCTGTCCTATTGTTGTGTGTTTTACTTTCATCAGTCTTTCCGTCTGCAGTACTAGGTTAAGTCAATTCTAGACTCAGCCAAAAGGAAATATTTGCCTTCTTCACAAAAATAAAAAATCTACACCACTTGCATGTTATTTTATTCTAGGAAGAAAAAAACTACTCTCACGTGTGTGCCTCACAATTTTCTCTGCACCAGCAGTTTTTTTTGGGGGGGGGGGTGGAACTGCAGAGCCAGTTACTGCAGCTTCAGCACAGCTCTTCATACTGCTGCTCAGAGTTCAACTACCTCAGACACATACCTGCATTTTAATGCTCTCTCTAGATGCTTAACAATGAAAGAATATTTTTTAGCTTTATTTAGAACTCACCAATGTTACAGCTACAGAAACCAGGCTTCTATCACAAAAATAAATTCCCAGAGTTTCTGGAGGTCTGCATGTAATGTACAAGATGATTATTCAACCCGGGTTCTTAGCACTCGTTGTTACATGGTGCAAGTAAGTAAGGCCTAGCATTAGCTGTAACAAGGAGCTTGTCTTTCTTCAGTGAAACGATTTCTTTGCTCTTTGCACTGCTTTGGAACGGCTACAATTTCGTTGTACTGCTAGCACAATGACAATAAAGGCATTCTGATTCTGATTCTGATAAATATCTTATCTTTAAGTTGTCTCATCTTTTGGACCCAGCATCTTGTTTTGTGTCAACATGTATTTTTGTGAAGTCAATATTTCATACTGTCTTGAATCATGAGTTACATTTCTTACACCCCAATGTATGATGCCATGTCATATCTTAACAGGGCCTTCTGCAGCACCACAGTACTAGTGGCTGGACAGCAACATATTTAATTTAGTGTGTTCCCTTGAGAGAGGGAACGTGGCCCAAAGACGTAGCTCATACTCCTGAGGTTAGGAGACATATAGTTACTGCAGAAAAGACAGTAGACTGTGCTTACTGATGTAGATCTCCTGTTGGCTGGTGAAGTCTATGGCTACACCAAGAGGGAGGGTGTCATCACTTGTCTCCGTAACTGGAAGCTCCGCCCTGCTGGCATCTTCGAGGACCCAAAGTTCCCAGGTCTGCATGAAAAAAACAAAAACAAAACAATAATATGAACAATTGTGTTATTCTGCTGTCTGTGTTTGTTGAAAGAAATAATTAGCAGTAGAGGAACTAAGAACTCAGAATTGTGTTGGGTAAATATACCCAAAAATTCCAGATAATTCTTTAATGTTTTCTTCAATTTTATAAGTTGTAAATATCAACATGTGAATGTGGATTTCTTAAAGTTTGTTGTAGAGAAAAAAACTAAACAGTTAAAGCTAATGTCATAATAACGTAAGTTTTCATCACATACCTTGTCATCTTGTCTGGCTATGACGCTGACCTCAATGGAAGCTGCAGATGCTGCAAATACAAGGTCCCTGAGGGGAATCAAATTAAAAAAAAAAAAAAGTAAATCAAAACTGTTACAATGTTTAAAAGACTAAAAACTCAGTTAAACATCAATTAAACATTCCTAATAATTTTTAGGTGACAACTCTAATATTACTACATGTATGCCATCCTGCTCACCAGTCCTCCACATGACTGAGGAAGTAGTGGTGCAGTCGCTCCGTGCAGTTACCGTACACCGTGTCACTGAAGTTCAGATACTTTGTTTCCACTTTCTCATCCTTTTTCTGGTGAAACAAAACAAGGATATTAAAGTGAGTCTCACTTCTTCAAATACATGCTATGATATGTATGAATCCACAAATGGTCGACGCACAGTAAGGAAGGATAATTTAACCTCAGCTAACACTCGCCTGTTTTTACAGACTGGTAGCTGCTATTGACTATCAAAGGTGCCCAAATAAGATTAGTCAACAAGAGGTCCAAAGATTGTTACTGTTACTTTGCTTTTTGAATCAGTTACACTTGCAACATTGCGACATTCAAATGGTGATAATAAGAGTGTCTACTACTGTATGTCGAAGAACGTATTATTACATTGTTCAGGAAGTCTGTATCAGACAAGTAGCTCTTTGTATTACTAAGTGCCCTTGAAGTAGCTCTGAGTTTCAAAAAGGTTGGTGACCCCTGAAGCATAAATGAGTGATAAGTAGGAATGCAGAGTAGACATCAAGACAGCAACCTGACAAAAATCCAAAATTTTCACTCACAGGAAGGGAAATCAGCACAAGGTCAGGCGGGGTCTCCAGGGATCCGTCTGCAGCAGCGTACACCACGGCGAACACAAAGGTTTTCAGCCACAACACGTCCAGAGCTGTGGGGCACAACAGAAAAATGAAACTGGCCCAGGGATGATGTAAAGGTATAAAATATGAGCTCAGTTTACATTCTGCTCGGTATATGTAGTGTTTGAGGCAACAGTTTCGGGAAAGAGCATCTCACCTTTGACAGGTTCATCAGGTGAAGATGTGTAAAAGTGTGGACACGGGATGACTTTTTTCTCTTCTAATAACTTAAAAACAACAGAGAAATGTTACTTTTTCCCCACAGACAGTAGAGCAGTTCTCACCGAGAACTATGTGTTTTACTTCTGATTTTAACAAATTGGATTCACTCACTGGTGTATACTGACTGACAGTAGCATTCATTTTTCCTGCAGCGACTTGCTTTCCTTTTGGACTCCAGCAAACTGTGCGAAAATAAAGTCTGTTAATTGCATTCACACACTAGGGGTTAATTACAAGTGTAATGTGCCCAGTATCACTCACGGCAGGTGATGCCACTTGAAGCAGGGAGCTGAGCCTGAGCTTTGACGCTGTCTGTAACGTCTAAGATCATCATACTACCGTCAGACAGGCAGACAGCCACGGTGGAGGCCTGAGCAGGATTCCACTTTAGGTCTTGCACCACAGTGCCAACAGAAGCCCGGAAGGATGCAAATGGCAACTTCTGTGGTCTCGCCTGAGAAATGCAAAAGCAAGAAAATTACACGACATGTGAGCTCTCTCTCTGCCATATATTTATTTACGTTAGTCATTAGTAGACATTATTCAATCAACAAGCCATAATGCACAACAACGCAGTATACGAAAAAAACTTGACATATTGACACATTTCACCCAGCTAACGTGATCAGTATATTTACCTTGTTCAAAAAAGTACGGACATCATAGAAAGTAAGAGATAAAGCCGCCGCTTCAGAGACGCCACACACTGACAGTGTGAGGTCATCACAACTGAGGGCCAAGTGGTGCACAGCCAGCTCAGCAGTCACCTCCGCCACGGGTGATACCCCATCAACTACGACCAAGACCAAGAAGTCAGACATGTTGGAGTTACTTCTTTTAAAGGCAGAAAGAAATTTAATTTTTCTTTACAATGAACTAGTAAACCATATTCATACCTATTTCATTGGGATTTCCATCCACTTTATCAGCAGCCAGTATGTCTACTGTTCGGTAAACTTTAAATGTGTTGTTAAGCCCAACAAAGGTCAATCCAAACTTGTTGGAGATGGCAAGCAGATTGGACCGTTCCCTTGGCAAGTCCTCGGGCGCCTGGAAAACTCGGACTTTCTTCATATGTCGAAATTGAAAATCCTAAAACAAAAGAACGAGTGTTTGTGGTTTGTAGTAAGCAGTGAACGATGGCAAAAAAAAACAACTGAAATGAAATGTTCACAACAAATGGAATGAGAAAAGAAATATATGTATGTATGTCTATATAAACATATATATATATATATATATATATATATATATATATATATATGAGTAGAGTGCTGCAATTACTTAAATTTAACATGGAAAAAACAAATTACAGACGTTTTAAAACAGTAATTATTACTCATTTTCACCAGTAGCGGTGGTTGACTGACTTGCGTTACATGGATCTAAACAGTAATTCTGTTTACAAAAAAAAACTCAATTGCGTTGTGCTGTCGATTTATCGTTAATTGTATTGTGTTGAAATCTATATTCTTAGAATAATAATAATAAGAAATAATAATAATAAAGGTTAAGGTTGAACGTTTTTGATCCCACACTGGGAAAATTATTGAAAACTTTCGGGAAACATTATTTACGATTTAAACACTTCACACATTAGAGACTATTTGACATTCAAATCACATTCGTCCTCAAATACTGGAAGAACAATTAAGAGGATAACCGGGAACTGTAAAATAAAAAAAGGATCAATGACGCATTTGATTTCAAAGCTAACGAGCTAGCACGTGTACAAAAGTGAAACTGTTGTCCCCATAATGGTTTTTTTTTCCATTACTGACATTGTTACGTAGAGAAGTATTCAGTGTTATCACAAGGTTTCTAGCCAGTTACCCCTGACACTCGTTGACAATTAAAGCGGCTGCATGATGCTTAGCACAGTTAGTAAACATTAGCTCACATAAGCTAACTTGTCATGTAAGCCACTAGATAACAGCGCTTACCTTCATCTCCCTCTCGGGAGGAGAGTCCGTGTCGTCGCTCATTCTAAAAGAAT